AATATGATCTTGACCTTTTCAAGGTGAACTGCGTCGGGGGTATCATTGGACAAGGAAGAATTGTGTTATGGAGAACATATTTAGTAGGTATCATCAACAAAAGAATGTATAGAAACTAATATTTGATACATACAATCAAATCGTTAGATATACTATGTATAGTAATTGACTTGAGGGCTCAGGTGATTTATTGCGCCGTCTGAATGGGCATATGTATGTCAATACTTGATTCAAAGGTTGAGAGTTGGCATCGAGAGCAGGGACATAACAATTATAAGTTTTATCGGAAATACATTGTTCCATGACAGTTATTAGATGAGAAATATTTTTTTTTATTTCGCCGATAAGAGTTATAACCCAACGTTTATTGTTATGCAGGAGAAATATGTTTTCCGTCGCCAATAAGAGTTATTTCACCCAACGTTTATTTTTACGTTGTCTGATAACAGTTATTTCACTCCTCCTCTTTTATTTTCATCATCTTTATCTTTTTCTCAATCTCCGTTTTCGTCAGAGAAATATTATTTTATCAGTTATAACCTTAGTCGATCCAATGTTCAAGAAAAATGCTTTGATGGATGAAAAAGCCTTTCAGGGGAGATTCTGTAACCAGTTAGCGACAAGTTTCGAATCGATATCGCACTTGTTGACGTAAAAATATTTCATATCATACGTCAACAAAACCGGTTCGAAAATTGTCGCTAACTGGTTACAAAATCTGCCCCCATGCCTACAAAAATGATATCGTCCGATTCAGCCGGAACAAAAATGCTTCAAACAAGTAAGAGTTTCTCTGTATTTTGGCCTCGAGCCGACATCTTTCATTTAAATCAGTTTTAAAAGCTCTATTGGCTCCTTCATTCGGGTTTCGATAGGCGAGTCTCCCCTGAACCGTTTTTCCATATTTTTGGCCTATGTTCGCTTTTATTCCAAACCTAAATGTTTCAGTACGGAGTTTCGAGACCATTGGTTCTTTTAAAATCGGTACCGAATATCGGTCAATACCTAAAAGTATTAAAATAGCACATCACTACTGCTGCCATCTCGACTGTGACGTCGGCAAAAGAGCTGATTCTGTCAAATTCACTGAGAGCCGATTTGCGGTGTTGCCAACGGCGCCAATTTCGGTATTCTCTCCACCGTGACGCAAACGTAACGAACGCATCACGGTGGCAGGCTTAAGACGACAATAACTCAACAAAAGTTATCGACTAGCAATACCTTCAACACAAGCCATTGTTCTAGATAGTATTGTTAAAACCAGAACAGGTTTTATTAAACTCGGTAAAAGATTTGGTTAGTTTTCATCAGAATTGTGCAATTAAATATTTGTGTTTCTGTTTATAAAAAATAATATTTATTTCCATAAACCACACAAGCAAAAAATTCACATTTACAAAATAACCGTCCAATGCTATCTAAGATAGGGTAAATAAATGCTGAAGTGCACAAAATGCAAATTTCGCTTTTAATCCCAGCCATTTTTTGCTTATGGCAACCGCATTTGAGCAATTTAGAACAAGCAATTAGCAATACAGCTGGCCGACAATCCGGATAATTTGCATAATTACGCGATTTTGATGTATGCTGGTAAGCTATTTGAAATTTTTTTTTAAATGTGGGTAATTTAGTTTTTTCACCTAAATTTTATTTGTAGCGGCATTTTGGGGTTACACTGCAATTTTAACGCTCCAGTTCACAAAATTTACTAACCAGCAGAAAGCGAAGAAAAAGCAATATTATCACCAATACAAATAGTACATAGTTGAGTGGAATAATAAAAGCGAAAATAAGGGCGAAATGCCGAAAAAAATTAAAGAATTAAAAAGAAAAAATAAATAAATAAAACGCACGTAAGCCTAAGCAAATGAAAAAAAAACTGCAGTAAATTTGCAAGTGACCCTGAAATTTAGCAGAACAAAGGGGCAGCGGTGCGAGTGGCAGTGCTGGTGTTGGCTATGTAATGTGAAATTTGTGGTTGTTGCACGTAACCTTGTCCTAGTTTGTAGACGTCAAGCAAAAACTACCACCAACACCAGTTGATGGTAGATATAACAAAAACAAAAAAGTTCACTTAAATGTGTCAACAGCTGGCAAGTAAGTACATACATACTTACACAATATTACTACATATGTACATATGCAGCTCTAAATATTCGTAGTAACAGTAAAAATTTTACTGCTAAGTATAAACTCGTAGGGTCTCTTCACCTCGTCCTTAGCTAAAGTAGTACATTAGTGCACAAGCGGTCAAGGGCGATCGACTGCATGCAGCACAGCGTTGCATGTGGCTAGGAAATACTGCAGTTCACGATGTAGTGAACCCAAAGCAATATTCCATACATAGAAATAAATTCTTACATACTAAACTTTTCTCTAAATTTGAAATGGCTCTGATTATTTACTGTGGTACATATGTATAGAGCGGGGTCGCAGGCGCATCTTTTAGAGGCAGCAGGCGCACTCACCAGCGTGTAACCTCGACCTCAAAATCCTAGTTAATCTGTGCAGCACTGCGGGTGTGCTGTATATACGTATATATGTATGTAGATATGCATGCAGTTGCACCCCACAGTGTTGTTGCACTTACGAGTGACAACAGCATCCGTGTGCAGATATTTTGTATCAATGCCAATATGGAACACATGTTGTGAGAGGTGGAGGTTTTCATACATATAAAAATATATATATATATGTATGCATTATATTTACCATTGGATGTAAATCAATACTTTCGCTTTATACCACTGTCAAAGTTAATCGATATAGGAATTAAGATTATTTTCTGCACAGAGGTGTCTAGTCACAACTTTAAATTCTCCATGCTTTTTGCAGTTACTGTAAATAAACGAATATGAATGCTCGCTGCGAACATGAAAAAATTGCTAGTACAGAACGCATGCAAACTAAAAGCCATACTCTTCCAAAATCATTCGACACAGACCCGTCCCCAGATGAAGATCGCTTTTAAATTAAGGATTTTTGGCATGGCGAATAGTCTATCATTCGAAGGCGAATGAAAAGGTGTGTTCCCAAAGCAACAGAAAGTGTGTCTGAAGTCAAGTTGGATTTTATTATTTCTTGTAAATTTTCCTATACTACGGGAAACAAAACCAGAAGGTCCGGAAACTATGGCAACAGACAGCACATAACTCGAAATAATTAAAAATGAAGGACTCTTGAAGGGTATTGTGGAACGGTTTTCAACCATCCCTTGCCATCCTTGAAAATCGTTCCACAATACATCATATTTTTAGCCTGCCGGAAACCAAAAATAAACTCCTATAAAGTTTCTTTTTTCTTATGATGTCGGCTAGGCAATGGAACTGGCAAGTTTTGAGGAAAATTTTATTGTTTCCTACTGGTTTTAAGCTATTTTTAAATACTTAAATACCGTTGAAAAAAAGTTCTAACATCATAATAAAATAAAACCTTATTGCACATCTACAGGCCTGGTGCCTTGATTTGACCTCTCATTTTTGAAATCCAAAAAACGGTGCAGATCTGTTGGTCTTCAGAAAAAATTCCTTCGCCTATTGTATATGTATAGGAGTATATGAATATGTACATTAGCGTGGGGCGAAAATCCGCTTTTTTAGAATTTTGATTGGTAATAGCAAAAATATGGTTCATTATGCTCTAAAATAAATCTGTGAAATGTGAAAATTTTTGGTCAATATCCTAGGCTCGCCCATGTCCACCAAAGTTCAAGTATTAAAAAAATTTTTTTTTAGCTAACTTCGATTTTCTACAAAAAACGTCCATATACCAAATTATGTAGGACTAATACTTTCGAAGATTATTGCAATTTTATTAAAAAAAATTTATTAATTAATTTATTTATTAATTTTTATTTTTTGAGCATATTGAACTTTGATAGACTTGGGCAAGCCTAGGATATTGACCAAAAAATTCCAAATTTCACACAGATTTTTTTAAAGCATAATTAATCATATTTTTGCTATTACCAATCAATATTCTAAAAAAGCGGATTTTCGGCCCACGCTAATGTACATAGTTAATTTTTTTTCGAACAGATGGCAACCCTAATGAAAAATATTTTCAAACATAAGTTTTCTTAAAAGTCTTTCGTTTTAGGAACATTTTTTACTATTCCACTGGACATGTGCATAATTTAAATAAATTCTAGTTTTCAAACTGGTGGAAACCTTCTTTAAAAGCATTTTCAAACTAAAACCTTTTTAATCTCTTTCGTCTGATATTCTCAAATGCAGTTCAGAAATAAATCCATTTCAAACCCTTCTGGATTGATAGCCATTTCTTAATAATTTGACTTGTTAAATAACATAAATTTAACTTTTTTAAAAGGTGCCAACTCTATTCAAACACAAAAAAATTAAAATGTCAAACTAAATATTTCGTAGCACTCTCTCATTTGGCACCCATATTTTAATATTTCATATAACTTGAACATAAATTAACCAAATTCGACTTTTCAAACAGGTGGCAACCTTCTTAAAAATATTTTCCACTACTACCTTCTTAAACCTCTTTCGGACTGGTACCAATATGGTGAAACATATGCCAGTTACCTTATTTCCTCAATTCAAATTCAATTTAATTATTTTTTAATCATTTTTGTTGATACCCATATATCTAATTTTATACATAATTGTTTTAACGTTTTTAAACATTTTTGCATTATTTTTTTTCGGAAAAGTGGAGCCTTATTGCCCATCTACGCCACAAGTCCTCACACATCATTTCTGAAAATTGAGTGAATATCAAGTAGCATTAATAAATAAATATTTTAAAGTAAATTTTTTAACAGTTGGCAACTCCTCCCGAAAAAGTAAAACAGATCTCATGACCAGGACAAAGTCCCTTCGCATATTACATATAGTATATTTCTTATAATTTTAATTAATTACTTTTAATGGAAATCGAACCACGATAACTTAAATTTCACGATTTTTCACTGTACACATAAGTACAACACATATTATTTCTTTGCCCCTTCTCCGCCCCCTCCGACTCACCTGATGATATCGAATTTGCCGAATCGCTGCGTGGTGTATGCTGCTGCATGTTGAGTCCATTATGTTGCATTCCCATATTTCCACCTAATACACTACTCATCAAACCGTTCATTAGACCCTGATTCAATGTTGTATGCAACATATTGTTATTTAAATGCATATTATTATTATTATTATTGTTATTATTTTGTGCATTTTGCTGCTGATTAACAAGATGCCCGTTACCCAGTTGATGGCCATGTCCCAAAGCACCACCGCCACCGCCATTGCCTCCACCATTGCCATTATTGAAATTTCCGCCATTAGCAATGTGGCCAGCTGCGTTGCCATTCATATTATTGTTGATGCCATTGCCACCGCCCAATGGTGGTAAGGGTATTATAGTGGTCTGTGGCGGTAGCAACGCCGCACAGCCATGTGCTGCAGTGATCACGCTGTGACCACCACCATGTCCATTAAAGGCGGCATCATACCAAAGATCTGGTTCTCCATAGACGGGCGAATCGAGTGGTGAGGGCGAGAGTGCGGTGCTGAGAACGAGGCCGTTGGAGGATGAGGTGACTTCGGTGGACGAATCTTCGTGCATGCGAAAGGCGAAACCGCCGTTATTCGACCAACGTCGCTTCATCATTGTTGTTTGCGTGCGGCCAATCAGGGTGGAAATTTTGAAAAATTTTTAACGGCCTTTGGGAAATTGTTGATTTTTAGTGCAGTTTTACACTGCACAAATTTATTGCACTTAAGTTCACAATTATTTGCTAATTTATTTGGTTTTTTTTTTTTAACCTTTTTCAAGTTGTTTAATGTGTGTGTATGTAGGTGTGTAAAGAATTTATTAATTTTGCCAATTTAACGCTTTTTGTGCGCTTTTTGTTTTTTTTTGCGTATATGTAGTACTTTTACGCGNTTTATTGCACTTAAGTTCACAATTATTTGCTAATTTATTTGGTTTTTTTTAACCTTTTTCAGGTTGTTTAATGTGTGTGTATGTAGGTGTGTAAAGAATTTATTAATTTTGCCAATTTAACGCTTTTTGTGCGCTTTTTGTTTTTTTTGCGTATATGTAGTACTTTTACGCAACTTTTTCTTAAATTTGATATTTTTTGCGCACTAATTTATGCACAAAAAACATGCTTGTTGTTGCTTCGAAAACTCAAAAATTTTTTATTGAAATAAATGCACCTTTCCAATCTAAAATCAATAATGAGAAATTAGGTATGAAAAATTAATTAACCGCAAAAAAATTTTCAGATATATATTTTTTTTAAATATCGCCAACAACGCTGTGGCACGTGAGTGTGTGTGTCTGTGTGTTAATTGTATTCGGGCCCGAAAGAAACTTATTTGTAAAGGCGTCTCTGCGATTTTTATTGAACGACTTCATTCGTCCTCCTGACTTTAAAATGCGCACTTTTTCACTGAAACGAGACACAATACAGAGAGAGAGAGAGAGGGAGAGATGGGAGAGAAAAAATAATGAGTTAGCGCAAACATCAGGTTAAAAACTGCTTTCTTTTTACTTATTTGTATACATACTTTTTCTTTCTTTACGTCGCCTTAATTGGTTGAACATTTTTTCTGTTTTTTTTGCATTTTAATGTTCCTTAATTATTTAATTTCGAACTCTTACTTTGTACTTTTTGCGCGTGTTATTGGTTGTTCATTGCGGTTTAAATGCTTAAAATCTAGCTTTAAAAACGGGTCAGAAAAATGTTGTTTAGACTACTGCAACTCAACTTTGCTTCTGCATATTAATTTTAATAGCTTTTTTTTTTATTTTGTTGTTTGTGGTCTTGAAAATTGCATTTCATTATTGATTTTTCGATTGTAGAAAAATTTGTATACTTAAATATTCAAACGACATTTAGGTGCATACATTTTTCTATAATTTGTTACTTTCAAGATCGTTTGAATGCAACTCTGTAGGCAGCGTTAATTAAGCTTTTGGCGTTTAAGATTTTCGCCATCAAGACCAATGGAAATATGTATGTAGTTTAATAATATTTTTATATAAATGGCTTTAGTTTATTTTATTCTATTGCATTTGCATTTTATGAAGTTGAAAACCTTGATAACGGGAAGCATTTGGTTTTTTGTTTACATAGGTGATGACTATTACAGGATCATTTCGTGACTAGTTTCGAGCCACCCCATAATGATTTCGAACTAGGCCACAATTGTCCTGAAGTAATCCTAAAGTGGTTCTAAAAAAGTTGTGAACTTGTCCTATAGTGATCTTGAACAAGTCTTGAAACGGCCCCGAAGTGTGCTCTTACCTCTTACCCAAATGATCCCTAAGTAGCCCCAAAATGTTTCTGAACAAATCCCAAAATAATGCCGATCTAGACCGCAAATGTTCTTGAAATAGTCCTGAACAGGCAACAAAACGGACTTGAAACAGTCCCTTATTAATCCGAAAATGATCCCGAACCAGGCCCAAAATGGTCCTCTAGTAGTCCTGAACCTGAACTAGCCTCGAAATGGTCCTGAAGTAGGCCAAAACCGCTAACGAGCTAGTTTCGAAATTTTTTTGAAATAGTCTAGAACAAACCCCAAAATACTCCTCAAATAGTCGTAAACTACTTCCAAAATTATAACAAAATGCCCTTGAAATAGTCCTGAGCAGGTCTCGAAATGGTCCTAAACCAGTGGCTAACTACGCCCAACATGGTCCCGAAATAGCCCTGAACTATTCCATAAATACACATTTCTTCACACAATAAAAAGTTACAAATTTTCTGCTGAGTTAAGACAAAGTTCTACAANACTCCTCAAATAGTCGTAAACTACTTCCAAAATTATAACAAAATGCCCTTTAAATAGTCCTGAGCAGGTCTCGAAATGGTCCTAAACCAGTGGCTAACTACGCCCAACATGGTCCCGAAATAGCCCTGAACTATTCAATAAAAACACATTTCTTCACACAATAAAAAGTTACAAATTTTCTGCTGAGTTAAGACAAAGTTCTACATGGTACTAGTTCCGGCATCGAATACTTGCGGAGAGTTAATCACGACGGTGCCCAGTACATCCCAAGTCTGGTATGCCGATTTATGCGCGGTCGCCCATGTATCATAGGTCAAATACTTTTGCAGTTCGGGGAGCGTTCTTAAGCCAGACCACATGCATTTCAGCATTCCTTAGAACCCAAGTTTACATTGTACAAATTTAGAATTTATTCCATAAGAAAGTAAATCAAATACACTTTGAAGCCAACCTCATTCAAATACAAAGAGCATTTCAGCCAACGTTGGAAAAAAGTTCAAATAAACTGAGAAAAACTTGCTTTCCTTCCTTATTTTCGAACAAGTGGTTATTTTGACAAATAAATAAGAAGAAAACTAAAATATGCCCCTGAAAGTTCAACCAACTTGTTGCATTGATGTTAAAACAAAAGACGACAATGAAACGAAAGCAGCAATTTAAAATTAGCCTAGCGTGTAATCGTATGAAAAATCACAGAAATTTACGAAAATACACAATTTCGAGAATTTAAAAGAAAATATATAAACAGCAAGGAAATGCACGCAGAGCAAAAAACCTAAGCGAAAAGCGGTAATCAAGATAAACATAGCTAAAAGATCTGATAAATCACTGCAGGAAAGAAACGAAAACCAAAAAAAAAAAAATAAAAAATAATAAAATTAAAAATAACATCAAATATTTAATGTCTATTTAGTAAACGTCTCACATTTTATTGCTGCATTTAAGTGACACTCAGCAGCGCGTTGACAAAAATGTACTCGCGTATGTATGCATGCTGAGCGAAACTTTGGCGAAAAATTTGCTAGTTGTTTTTTTTTGCGTTTCGTTCGACTGTTTTAAATTTAATTCGACTACTTTTTTTGCATTAATCGCACAGGTTCGCTAATAACNATGCATGCTGAGCGAAACTTTGGCGAAAAATTTGCTAGTTGTTTTTTTTTTGTGCGTTTCGTTCGACTGTTTTAAATTTAATTCGACTACTTTTTTTGCATTAATCGCACAGGTTCGCTAATATATACTCGTGCATACATACAAATGCAGATACTTATGTGTCTCATACCCACATGGGCTGTGCGTTTGCCAAACGCGTTCAAGGTTAACCTGACGCTGACGCGTTAATTAGAATGGAATTGCGCGCTGCATTGCACTCACTCGGCGAATGCGAAGACGTTGAACTTTTCGTTAGTGAAAAATAGCAACAAAGCGAAGTGAGCAAGAAAACAAAAAGCATTAGAAAAGGTAAGCACAAAACATTTGTATGTACATACTTAACACTTTTTTAAATTTAATGCACGTTTCAACTCTTAATTACACTTATTTATCCCTGCTATAAAATTAATGATTCTTAAGCGATTTGAGTGATTATGTTTTTTTTATTACTAACTAAATTTAATTACTGTTTTTTTGCTAATTAAAATCAAAATTAATCTGTGATTGTGTTAACGATGACCTGTTTGCAATATAATGTGACGCTAGGCGAGATATGCAGCTTTAGTTGAATTTTAAATGGGCTTAAGCTTAAGATTGGTTTCACTGGTTTGGTTCTCTTGATGCCAAAATTTGTCGAGATATGTTGACACAACTTTAACTCCTTTAACCACACCTTTATCGATGGTATTATGGGCCAAAAACAGACAGATAGCCGATCTAAAAGCGCAGGGCGTACCCTATCCTGATCGAAATCAATCGTTGTACCGCCTCTTTATTCCATTTGACAACGTGTTTTCACTTAAGAAATGTAAAATAAATATTTTTTTTATCAAAATTTTCGAAACCCATTTGCGGCTCTCAAGAAAAAAAAATGCTTGTATTTCCTCAACAAAATTTTCAGCAACGGCAGAGTGCTTTTTCAACGAGCAAAAATAATCCTTCTTAATAAAATATTGTAAATGTGAAAGTTTGTATATTTGGATGTTTAGGGCTCTCTCACGCGGGAACGACTGAACAGATTTGCAAGAAATTTTAGAGATAGTTTTGACCTGGATTCACAAACAGGTTCTTTTTAAGAGTTGCCACCTGTTAAAAAAGTTTATTTAAATTAATAAGTTCAATCAAATATTACAATACGGGTGTCAAACGACAAAAAGTTTAAGAGAGCTTAATTTCAAAGATATTTTAATCAGAACCAAATTTGGCCTCGATAAATCAAGAGGGCGTGGCACCTCCCTGACAAATTGAAATTTTCATAATGCATTCATATCTCTGGAAATATTTGTGGGAGAGTACTGGAACTTGGTATGGAAATATGAATGTATGTGAAATCCAATTCATACTCACGGTGAAAAATTAGCGTTTTTGGAAAATGGGCGTGGCACCTCCCATACTAACTGAAACTTTCATATTGCATATCTCTTCAAATTTTTTGGAATAGAGTACTCAAGCTTGGTATGGAGTTATGTATGTATGTATGTAGTATGTGAAATTAATCCTATACTCATGGAAAAAAGTGAGAGTTATTGGGCAAGGGGGCGTGGCAACTCCCATGCAAATTTGCTTGTTTTTATGCTGCATATCTCTAGGGGTGTTGTTCGAAAAGGGGGCGTGGTACCTCCTGTAGAAAATTATTATTTTATTTGTGTAGAGTTGCTTATGATATGTAGTACTGGAACTTGGTATTATGATATATAAATTCTAATTCGTACTAATGGAAAAAATTTGGGTTATCAGAAAAGGTGGCTTGGCACTTCCCGTACAAATTGACTGTTTCTTACTACATATCCCTGGAGATGTTTGTGGAAGAATACTGGAACTTGTTATGGAGTTATGTATATAAAATTCATCCTTGCTCATGGAAAAAATGTGAGTTATTAGAAAAGGAAGCATGTATATAAAATTCATCCTTGCTCATGGAAAAAATGTGAGTTATTAGAAAAGGAAGCATGTGCCCCCCCCATACATACTACCACTTTCATAAT